TGTATAAACCTACGCTATAATGAATTTATAATTATTAAAAATTATTAAAAAATATTTAAACGTACTAGAATTGATTAAATTTATTAAAATAATTATTAAATAGTATTTTATAAAATATTATTTTATTATCTAATTATTGTTTTGTTAAAAATATTTAATACTAATTCTTAATTAAAATAATAAATTATTAATGTACTATATTAAATTTGATTAATAAAATTAACAAAATGTAAAAGCTAAATTTAATTTAATTTTATAATATAATTATATTTGATATTATTTTTATTATAAAATTTTAATATATTGAATAAAAAAATTTATTTTTATATTTTAAATATAATTTTTAATTTATTTAAATAAAATAATTTAATAAACATTATAAAAAATAATATAATAGTTATTACTTACTTTGTAAAATAAGTAGGCTAGCCCACCCCTAGCTCTGACCCTAACCCATTGTTTTTTTATTTATTTTGGAGCTTAGGGCTAATTTAAACCCTCTAACTATAGGGCTTAAAAAAAATAGGGTTATACAGAGGGCCAACAAGGTAAGGCTTAGGGCTTTGACCCATTTTGACAGCTCTAATTTTATTCTATTTAATTACTTCTTGTTTTAAGGTCCTTTTTTGATAGAACGTATTTATGCCTTTGCCTATCTGCTTTAGTCCTTTCTACTTTTATGCATTCATGACTTCTGCTTCTTGTGACCTTAAGCATTCCCATAATGATGCCTTCTCAAAAACTGGTTCTAACAAACTCTTCAAATCCTGTTTTGACTGCTTTCAACCTTTGCACCCAACTTCCTTCTCCTCACTCTAAACCATAGAATGCCCCAAGGCGTTGGGTGCTTGACATGCCTTTCCAAGAGTGACTTTGATATGTAATGACTTCTTTTTTGCCGACCCATTAGGGACATTTGCATCAAATTCCCAAGTCTGCCTTTGCTATGGTTCAACAAAAATGCCCTCTTTTGTCATGGGTCCTTCTTTGTTTCGCTTACACCTACTTCACCAAGAATTCCCTTGGGCTCTTTTGTGCTTTGTTTCTTATGTGTCACCTACGATGGGTTGGGTTGATTGGGTTGAGCATGTGTTCTTGGATGATTATACTCTTGGTCTTTTATTCATGTGTAGTTCTAGCAACTTCAAGCTATTGCTTCAGAGCTAGAATGCCTTAACCCACATTTTTGTCACTACCTAGGGTGAATTTAGAAACATTTGTAGTTATTCTGAAAAGTGTCATAGTGATTCTTCATAGATGGCCAAAATATTCTCCACCTTTATATTCTTTTATACAAGCTTGGTCTTTTTTAGCCACACATGTTATTATGTAATTTTTTGTGACTTTCATGCCATCTTTTGGTGTTATACACCTTGTTAATATATTATCACTAGCTTTCTTGTACAAGACCCTTTGCTTTGATAGAAATCTTTAATGGGTTTATTGATAATATTTTTTTTTGCAATTGTTCTAGTATGTGCATCCACTAATTGCTTTCATTGATTCTTTATTTTTCTTCAGGTTATGTTTTTCTAACCTTCTTTATCCTTACCATTTGTTTTCCCTCTTTCATCCTTCTACTTATTGTTGCCAATGCATTTGTCAACCTGTTATTTGTCCTTGAAATGTGAGAAAACTTAACTTTTTTGAAGCCTTTTAGTCAAAGGCAGACTTGATCTTTGTACTATACTAAAGTTGCTTCCTTGACTCCATATTCTTTTTTGAGGTGCTTAATAACTAAGCTAGAGTCTCCATTTATTTGTAATGTTTGAATCTTCATTTCTTTAGCCATTCTTAAACCCATAATTAATTCTTCATATTCTACTTCATTGTTTGTACAAGAGAAGTCTAAACCATATGTGAAAGACAATTCCTCTCTTTCGGTTGCCAATACGATTCCTACCCCACCTAAAGGTTTGTAGGTGTTCCATAAATACTAACGTCCATTCTAATTTATTTTGCTCTGTCTCCTTTTATATCTTCAAGCACTTCTCCTTCCATGTATGTTAGGAAAATGGTGAGAAGGTCAACTAGTGCCTGACTTTTAAGCGTCATGGAGGTGACTTGTGAAATATCATATTCACTTAATATAAAGAATCACTTGCTTATTCTTCATTTTAATATGTTTTTTTTTGTAATAAGTACTTTATTCAATCAGACTTGGTCATCACTTGCAATAAATGTGATTGAAAATAGTTCATGTACTTTTGAGCAACGTATATTAGCACAAGACAATACTTTTCTTGTATCGAATATCAAGTCTCAGTATCTTTCAATACTCAATTTAGATAAACAACCATTCCTTCCAAACCTTCATTTTCTTAGGTTACAATATCATTCAAGGTTTGCTCTGTTACAACAAGGTACAATATGAGGGGTGACCCTTTTCAGAGATGTTATAGTATTGGCAGAAGTCAATACTTGTTTGATCCTTTCAAATGTGCCATTGTGTTCATTATTCCATCTAAATGCATTTCTTTCTTTCAACAATTTCTTGAATGGGTGAATTAATTCTACTAGTAGAGGTTTCATTTTTTGAATGGTTTAAACCTTTTCATGGTCTATTGTTATTCCATTTAAATGCACTTTGAATCCTAAGAATTTTCCAATGGATATAACAAAACAACATTTCATGAGATTCATTGTCAATTGATACTTTCTATATCTCTAAAATACTCTTTTTAGGTGATGGACATATTCTTCCTTTTCTTTAAGATTTGACAACTAGATCATTTACATAATCCTCTACAAGCTCATGCATTACATAATGAAAGATGGCAGTCATAGCTTGCTGGTAAATCGCTCTTGCATTCTTTAAACTAAAAGACATAACTAAATAACAAAAGTTTCCTATAAGGTTCAAGAAGGCAGTTTTCACCTAGAACCATCCTAATTTGGTTATATCCACTGAAGTCGTCCATGAATGAGAATATCTAGTAACCTAACGTAGCATTTACCATGTTGTCTATATGTGGCAAGGAAAATCATCTTTAAGACACATTTTGTTTAGGTCTCTAAAATGGACGTAACACTACATTTGTCCGTTTAGAACTTCTTAACTAGGACAATGTTAGATAACCAAGTGAGATGTTATACTAGTTTGATGAATCCAACATTCTTTATATTTTCTCGTTAATCTATTGTTCTATTTCTATGAAAAACTTTCTTGGTGGCTGCTTTACTAGAGTTGCCCCTTGGTAAATCGCTAAATTGTGCGTGACGAGTGATGGATTTAAACCAAGCATTTCTCCATGCTTCCATGCAAATGCATCTTTGTATTTTTGTAACAAGGCGATTAATTCTTCTTCTTTTTTTCCCCCTCTTCTTTGAATAAAGAGCTTATAAGCAAGGGTCTGGGCTTCTATTCTTTTCCAACTATGTGTATTTCCTTCATCCCTTCTTCATGTTTCCTTTAAGATTCTTATTTATCAAGGAGTATTCCTTTGGATGTTTCCTTTGCACATTTGATGAGTCACTAACTCATCTAAAAAATTAAAGATTTTTAGGCATATTTCATGGAATTTAAATTATAAGTTAATGCAATTAATTAATAAAGTCAATGGAATGTTGTATTTGCTGAAAAATTCATGAATCACTCATATTCTGATGACTGACAGTTTTATTTTGAAGGGATTAGAAAGAAATTTGCAATTAGACTTAAAGAGCTAAAGTTGAGTGCTGCAGGAATTCATGAATCACTCATATTCTGAACTTAATGCTTTTCTGTTCTACGTGAATAAGATTGATAAAAAGGAATTTATTGCCAGAAAGTAGTGAACTTTCTTGGAAAGGGATTAATTTGCTTATTATGAATTGTCTAAGAATAAAATTTTTTGATGATGTGGTCAATGGATTTAATTCTTAATGCTGAATGTCTTTAGTTGTATCTAAGGAATTAAGACACTAATTTCATTTTACAACCAATTACCAAGGAATTAAGGTTGGGTACTTTAGAAAATTAAACCATTAGATGAAGTTGTATTTTGAGTTATACATATATTTGCATGCAAAGGAAAAGAGATAAGGGATTCCAAACTTAACCTGCTTTTAATTGTGTTTAGACCCATCTCCAATAATTTAGACATTTATATTTTGCAATTATTTTAATTCTTACTTTATGTTTAGTCTTGCAGTTTCTGTCATTTATAAATATTAAATTTGACACTTTTAATTCTATTTTTACGATTCTGCACTGAGTTAAATTTCATTTTATTTCTACTCTGTTTTTGGTGACCCAACTAGTGTCATTCTTGTGGTTTGGTATTTAGCATTAATCCCTGTGGACGATAATCTTTTGTTTCTTCAACAATTTGGTGCATTTGCCAAAAAGTTTATCAAGTTTCTGGACCATTGTCGGGGATTAATTTTTAATATCAATTGTAATGAGAATTTGATAGCTTGGGTTAATAATTTCTGCTGTGTTTTAAGTGTTTCCAGAAAAATCTAAGCACAACAGCTTAATTAGTTGATGCAAGGCAAGGAGAAGATAAAAAAGAGTGATTCATCTCCAAAACTTGATCAGCCAATTATAAATTTCAAGAAAAAGAACAAAAAGAAGGGACAGACTTTAGAAAAAGAAAAAGAAGAAGAACCACAAGAAAAGAGTTCTGCAGAAATGGTAGAAAATCCTAATGAAGAACAGAGGACCTTGGATGATTATGCACGTGCAAGACCAAGAGGAAACCTCTATTGTTCGACCTCCCATTCAAACAAACAACTTTGAGATTAGACCTGACCTTATGAGAATGATCCAGCAAGAACAATTTGTTGGGTATCCTTCAGAAGATCCCCACTTGCACATTCATAATTTTTTGACCATTTGTGGAATGATTAGAATGAATGGTGTGAGCGATGAGGCTATTCGATTGTCTCTTTTTCCATTTTTTTTAAAGGATAAGGCAAAGAGCTAACTGTTATCCCAACCGGAAGGAAGTATCACTACTTGGGATGATTTAGAGAGCAAATTTCTGACGAAGTATTTTCCAGCCTCTAGAACAACCAAGTTGAGGCAAGAAATCTTGGCTTTTTCTCAAAGGGAAGATGAAATATTGTAAGAGGCATGAGATAGATTTAAAGAACTCTTGAGAAACTGCCCTTATCATGAGCAACTTGAATGGCTTCAATTGAAAACTTTTGATGATGGGCTGAATGTAGCAACAAAGACCATGTTGGATGCAGCAGCTGGATGCTCATTTACTCAAAAGACCTTGGAAGAGACACGCTGACTTATTGAAGTTATGGCATTGATGACTCATATTTTGTTATCATATTTATAGTCTTATTGCATCCTTTACATATCCTTTCATTCCCTTATTTCTTCCATTTAGTTTATTTTTGCATTTTGCACATTATTTAGGCATTTCTTGTAAATACTCATGTTTTCCTATTTTGACCTTTGTTCACTAATTTGCCCATAACCTTTTTTTTAGATATCCTTTTTAGCTGGTTCTTTTTGTATTGAATTCCTTACTTCTGGGGCTTCAATTTGGATATATGGATCATGCTGTTTGGAGTTCAGAACTATTTTCTACAAATTTTAGAACTTTAGACTTTTAGTTTGACTTTTGTTTTGATTTTTGTATTGCTTTTATTTTTGCGTTTTGTTGTATTTATTTTCGGCCCAGCCTTGGCCCATTTACTTTTATTCTTTTAGGACTAGTATTTATAGAGGTTAGGGGCTGATTTGGAAGCACCTTTAATTCATTTTTTTAATTTTTCAGTTTTTACAAACTTTCCTGCTTCCAATAAACCTCTCATTTTTTTTTTACCATTTTTCTTCTCTTCCACTTTTCACAATTCGAGCTCATCTTCCTCTGCATTTACAATTGAAAGGCGTTTAAGATTCTGCAATCTCGAGTTGTTTTCTTCCACATTTCTTCCTCAATTACGTTGCCAAAGTCAAAATCGCACTTGTTCAAGGAGTTTATGATTACTTCGAGTTTGTTTTCTGATCTTGCGTTTTGTGATTGCATAGGAAGTATAAGTCAATTGAATTGTGTCTCTCTTTCTTGATCATATAACAAGCAATCAATTAATTGATTTGTTGTGCAAAAGAGATTTAAGCAAATTCGGTTTAATCACTTTACGTTTGTGTTTGTGTGTTCTGGATCTCAGTTTTCATTCGCAATTTTAGTTTGATTGATTACTTGCATTGAAATTTATGTTTCATTCTCTGCAATTTAATTCTCTGTGTTTAATCATAAAACTACCCCAAATATACAACCTTTTCTGCATAATTGATATTAAAACAATGTGTATTTGCATCCTTGTGAGAGATGCCCTAGGTTGCTCCCTAAACTGCATGTTTTTATGAGGAATCTAGTAACTTTTGATACTAGTGTGACATGGAAATCAGGCATCCAACAATTACAATCATAGGGAAATGAATTCTTCAAAAAAAGGTGTGCTAGAGCTGAACACATTGGATGTATTACTGGCTCAGAACAAATTAATGTTACAACAACTAAATTCCCTCAATGCCAAGCTTGAAAACATGAAGTTAGAAGAGAACAAACTAGTACACTATGTAGCCCTCACTAGCTAAGAGGAATATCATGATGGAACAAGTGAAGACAGAGTTGAGTATTTTTAGCAACAAAGGGCTGAACAGGTGAATTTCATGAATAACATGCCAAGGCAACAAAACTTCAATTCAAAACCGCAGTGGCAATAACAGAATTTTTAGCAAAATCCTGTTTATCCACTTTAACAGCAGCAGTGCAGACCAAATTCTAGCTTAAATACCAGGCCATCGAATCATACATACTATACTCCACCTGCACAAAGATAGAACCAGCAAGGAAGACAGTGGCAGCAACAGAATTTTTAGAATTATGGTCCCATACAATAACAGCCCTAACAACCTCAAGTTCTAGAACAAGTATCCAGCCTTGAGAAGGCACTCTTGCAACTAACACAAACCACCAACTTGTTTATGCAGGATTCTAGCACAAGGATGGCTAATCAAGAAGCCTTAATCAAGAACTTGGAGAATCAGATGGGCCAGATTTTGAAGAAAATAAACGAACTAACCCAAGGATTTTTTTTTTTTAGAGATACAGTGGAAAACTCAAAGGAATTCTGTCAAGTAATTATTACAAGGAGTGAAAATGTGGTAGAGCCACAACCTAAGAAGAAGCCACTTGAAAAAGAAGAAGATTCAATTGCTGGACAAGAAAAAGAGGAAGCAGAACAACAATCAGAACCAGAATTAGAAATTGCAAAAGAGGAAGAGGAGGAGAAAATTCCACCAAAACAGAAATTAGTGGTGGATGAGGCAAATTGGAATAGATCTATGAAACATATTTTGGAAGATTCATGCAAACCTTAAATCCCTCTACCTTATGTTGAGCTGTCATATCCACACATTCCTAAGAACAAAGGGAAGGAAGAGCAAATTTTCAAATTCCTGGACATTTTCAAAAAGTTGCACATAAATATACCATTTGCAGAAGCGCTGGAACAAATGCCTCTGTATCCCAAGTTCATGAAGGACTTGCTTTCAAATAAGAGAAAATTGAAGGAGGATGCTACAGTAGCTTTAACTGAGGAATGCAACGCAATATTGTAGCGAAAGTTGCCTCTTAAGTTGAAAGATCCAGGAAGCTTCAGAATCCCTTGCACTATAGGGAATGTGACCATTGGAAAGGCTTTATACGATTTGGGGGCCAGCATCAACTTGATGCCGCTGTCCATTCTGAAGAAATTAGGAGTAGAAGAAGTTAAAAGTACTAGAATGACTCTCCAACTAGCTAACCGATCCATCAAGTACCTATATGGTGTAATGGAGGATGTGTTGGTGAAGGTGGACAAATTGATTTTTCCAGCAGACTTTGTTATCTTGGATATGGATGAAGATTCTGAGGTGCCTATGATCCTAGGAAGGTCATTTCTAGCCACTGGAAGGGTTTTGATTGATGTGCAGCAAGGTCAATTGATGTTGAGAATGCATGATGAGAAGGTGATTTTTAAAGTTTTTGAGGCTATGCAACATCCAGATAATGAGAAGGACACTTGCTTTAGGATGAAAATGGTAGATTCTTTGATTTCAGCAAAAAGTTTTAGCGTAAAAAATTGTGCAGACCCACTGAAGAAAGCTCTCGTTAATGTTGTTATGAATAATGATGAAGATAGTGACAAAGAATTAGAGGAAATTATACAGCAGCTAGACGCCCAACCTATGCTGCAGAATTTAGAGGAAGTGAGCATAGTGGAATCATAACAGTTAGAATTGAAGCCCCTACCCTCCCACCTTAAATATGTGTTTTTGGGGGAAAAGAAAACTTGTCCAGTGATAATCAACAGCAAACTCTCTCAGTTGAATGAAGATAAATTAATGAGAGTTTTGAGAGAGCATAAGGCAGCAATAGGATGTCCATCGAAGATTTGAAAGAAATCAGTCCCACATTCTGCATGCATAAGATTAAACTGGAAGATAAATTCACACCGGTGGTGCAACCACAAAGGAGACTAAACCCACCAATGAAGGAGATTGTCAAAAAGGAAGTGTGGAAGCTCTTGGCAGCGGGGATGACTTACCCCATTTTCGATAGTGAATAGGTCACCCAGTACAAGTGGTACCCAAGAAAAGAGGACTCACTGTGATAAGAAATGAGAACAACGAGCTCATTCTCACCTGCACTATGACTGGTTGGAGGATGTGCATCGACTATTGGAAGTTGAACCAAGCCATATGTAAGGACCATTTCCCACTTCCATACATTGACAAAATGTTAGAGCGGCTGGCCAGACAAGAGTTCTATTGCTTTTTGGTTGGCTATTTTGGGTACAACCAAATTGTTGTTAACCTAGAAGATCAAGAGAAGACTTCCTTCACCTGCCTATTTGGTGTTTTTGCATACTACATAATACCTTTTAAACTTTGCAACACTCCTGTAACATTCCAATGATGCATGCTTGTCATATTTTCTGACATGATAGAGAAGTCTATAGAAATTTTCATAGAAAATTTTTCAATTTTTGGGCATTCATTTGATCTTTGTCTGACAAATTTATCTTGTGTGTTGCAGAATGCATAGAGATCATCCTAGTTCTCAACTGGAAAAAATCAAAAGGGCATAGTGCTGTAATATAAGATTTCTGCAAGAGGAATTGAAATGGATAAAGTAAAGGTGGAAGTCATAGAAAATCTGCCGCCTCCAACCAATGTCAGAGGGATAAGGATTTCTTGGGCCACACTAGCTTTTATCGCAGATTTATTCAGGATTTTTCAAAGATTATTAAACCCCTTTGTTCACTGTTGAACAAAGACACTCCCTTTATTTTTTATGAAAACTGCTTACATGCTTTTAATGTTATTAAAAAAAATTGATCACTAGACCTGTTATCACTGCACCTAATTGGAATCTTCCATTTGAAGTTATATGTGAAGCTAGTGACTTTGCTGTAGGAGCAGTTTTAGGACAAAAAATAGGCAGAGTTTTTCACAAATCTATTATGCAATTAGGATTTTAAATGAGGCACACACACATTATGCCACCACAGAAAAAGAGTTATTTGCACTTGTTTTTGCTTTCGAAAAATTCAGATCATATCTCTAGGATCCAAAGTGATCATTCACACAGATCATGTTGCTTTGAAATTTTTATTTTCCAAGAAATAGTCTCAACCAAGACTAATTCATTCGGTATTATTGTTGCAGGAGTTTGATCTAGAGATTTATAACAAAAAAGGAAAGGATAATGTCATTGCAAACTATTTGTCAGGCTAGAAGGGATGTCATCATCATCCGCAAAAGAGGAGATCCAAGAGAATTTTCCTAATGAACAATTGTTAGCTGTAATTGAAAGACCATGGTTTGCTGACATGGCCAATTTTAAAGCCTCCAATATCATCCCAGAGAATTTGACATTGCAGCAGAAAAAGAAATTTTTCAAGAACTCAAATCAGTACATATGAGATGACCCCTTCTTGTTCAGAATTGGAACGGATGGAATACTTAGGATATGTGTGCCACAATCTGAAGTTCAAAGTATTTTATGGCACTGTCATGATTTACCTTATGGAGGACATTATAATGGAGATAGGACAACTGCAAAGGTGTACAAAGTGAATTTTTCTGCCCAACAATTTTCAAAAATTCCTTTG